TTTGACAAACTTGTGTTTCCTTAATTTAAGTGAAAATTTGAGTTAAATATATGTTAATGAATGAAGAGATTACATCCCATCAGGAGGTAATAATTAATTTACTATTATACCCATTTATATTATCTTTTTTCCCTTCTATCTCATATAAATTAATCTAAATCACAAAAAAAAAATCTATAACAGACAATAATATTTAAAACTGAGTTGTTTGGATAATTAGATCAATAATTAAAAAACACTTGCAAAAACATTATTCTTATATAAATAATATCAACTCCCATTAAAAGTTTAATTTTTATACCAACCCTGTAAAAGTAGTTTAATAGTAATAATGGGAACTACACCCACGCAAGAATTACTGCGCTTCAAGGCTTTGCCCATCAACTTCCTTCAAGCCTCTATCGACTTTTAGCTCTAGACTAGTTGAGTACAAACCTAAAGCTCATAATCAAAATTTATAGGAGCAACGTCAACTTCATCTTTCTCGTACAGATTAAACTACAACATACCACAATCTCTTTCGTCTACACATAAGGGAGCATGAGAGGGGTGTTGCCGTTGATTTACATAGATCAACTATGAAGAAGATGGATTGAGCTGCAACATCAATAGCTATGGAGGGAAATCATTGGGGAAAGCTTGACAAATAAATGGGGAGATAAGTGTAAAAAAATTTTCAAAATTTGTGGAATATAAAAAAATAAATGAGGACAAATTGGTAAGGATATTTGGCTCTCCTTTAAAAAAAACTCCAATTTAAAAGGGATCAAAATAAGGGTAGGGGAGGGAAATTTTTGACTCTCCTCTCCTCTAAAGTTTTTTGACCAAATGAGGGGAAGGAAGCTGTAACATACCAAAATTTTTTTTTAATAGTTTAACTCAACCATAGTTGGGTTACAGCCACCCAACACATTTTTATATCAATAATTTCAATATAAAATATTTTATAATTGGCTTCAACTCACACACTATAACATTTCAGATAAATTTTACCTCCCACATGCCATTAGGCTAAATCACATTTGTCCATCCTTATACTCCCAACAAGTAAACTAAATCACATTTGTCCATCCTTATACTCCCAACAAGTAAAATAAATAATTTAGTCAATTTTCAATACAAGCCAGTTATTTGCCCTTATAATCATGCCATTTTAATCAATCCAAAGTAAACCAAATATTAAAATTATAGTTATCCAAATTGTACCAAAAATAGAAATAGTTTGAAAGGCATGATTACATTTATATATTCATATAATTGACAATAAACAAAAAGCCCTAATATTGGCAATATAACACATTATAAATCATAAATTAAATACCCAAAAGAGATAGTGGATCTATACCACTAAGCCTCTGGGACTCCTCCACGTGTCACTCGTGGCTCTTCTCCTGAAAATTGTTAACCACATAATGAGACTCAAAAGTCCCAATAACCAAAGCCAATTTATGATAGTATATACAAACAGTTAAGTGTGTGCTTACTAAGTGAGAATTAAAAATAATATAATTCCAACAAATATAAGAAATATTACAATATACACAAACAACAATCCTTATATCCCTCCATTAACCTCGAGCCGTAGCCCTCACTCGGTGCTTAATTACCCGGCCAAAGGTAGATTAACCTGAGCCCTTACAAACCACCTATTGAGCTCCAATAGGGGCGTAGCACGTGGCACATAAATACAACAACAATAGCAAGTCTCTCAACACCTCCCACAATAATCAAACAAATTCATAATAATATTGCACAATTATACAATATTACAAAATGCATAATTTTCTCAATAATCACCTAATTAACATGAAGTAACACTAATCACAAATTAAAAGCATGGTTACCTTGTGGCTTTTTCAATAAATTATTCCTTAAAATTTCTCTCTCACCACAATCTTTACCAGTAATACAATCTACAAATAACATATTATTTATAAATATTAGTTTTAATTTTTGAAACTAATAAAATAATTCTAATAATAGAATTAAAAATATAACATAATTCCTAATCTCAATCTTAATACAAATTTAGAGTTAATACTATTAAGTAAAATTTTTTAACTCCTCTTTTAATCATCAATAAACATTGATAATCCAAAAATCAACTTCTAAACTAATCTCTATTATCAAAATTTTCTTTTATTTCATAAATTCGTACCTAAAATACCCAAAAATTAAAAATTGAGTCTCTAGCTTAGAATCATAATCCTATAACTATAATAATTCATTTCTCATCCCAAATAATCATCTAAACCTCAATAAATTAACATATATTTTTAGATCTAGTTTAGAATTTGATCCATAAGTCACAAATTCAAAGATCATCAACAAATTTATACTCTAGAATATTTATTATACTACTGACAACCTCAAAAACTATATTTATTCAACATAAATTCATCCCTCTTCCAGATATTAAATTTTCTACCACTACAAACTCAGAAATCAAAGAAGAAGGATGACTAAGAAAAAATTTTAAAACACTTACTTAATCTTGAAAAACTTAAAATCACACCCTAAATATCCTATTAAAAACTCTTACCTTAAAAATTCAGATCTTCCGCACGGCGACTCACGCTAACAGATGCTCTCTCTGATCGCACACGAAAGAGGAAGGAAATGAAGGAAAATGAGAAGAGAATGGTGGTTTTTTAAAAATGAATGTGGGTCCCATAATTTTTTTTTTTTTTTCCTTCCTCTCTCTTCTTTCCTTTTCTTTCTTTTTTATTATTTTACATGTAATCATTGCGGCCGCCGAAAGCAAACTCGTTTTTCTTCTTCTTCTTTCTTTTTTTTTAAATACCTTTTCTTTTTTTTATTATAATAATAATTAATAATATTTTTTTATTATTTTTTAATAAATTTTTTTAATAAATTTTTTTAAATTTTAATTTAGAATTATATCCTAATTTAGATTTAATAATCATCTCCTACTAATTTGCTTACCTCTAAGTATTTTTTTTTTAAATTTCTATTAACCCAAATTAACTATTAAAATTTAAATTGAGATGTTACAGAAGCCATTTCCTTTCTTTCCAAAACTTTCTAACCGAACACACTTTAACCATCCTTAACTTGATTGATACATAATTAATTAAATTATACTTTTAGTCCTCTAATTTTATTTAAAATTTTAATTTAGTTCTTTAATTTTGTAAAGTATTTTTTAATCCTTTAACCTTAATATCATTAGTTTTAAATGATTGTTTTTGTATCAATTATTATTATTTTGAAAAAATTAAACTTAATATGTTAATATTTGAGAATGTTTTGTCAATATTTGAAAGTTCAATGTAAAAATTTATTGTAATAAAACTAACAGTATTAGGGTTAAAAAACTAAAAAACACTTTATAAAGTTAAGGGACGAAAATAAATATTATGTAAAATTAAAAGATTAAATATATACTTTAACTTATATAAAGTTAAGCGACCTCAATTTGCACGTTTGCCTCAAGGGCGTGTGCTAGCTATCTTGAAATAGGCTTGATGGCATGTTTACGTTGTGGTTATGTGCTAATCATTTCAATTCCAAGTTGATTTAAGTTTGGAATTGGCATGACTAGAAAGACTATCCATCTCTTAGGCGAGCCAATTCCAAACCCATAAAATATGGTCATATACATGATGTTATTTCACATTATGTTGTTTTGTGTGATGTACGTTAAGAACCCCTTGCAAGTACATATTCTCAAAGTTAATTATTGATTTGCTCATAAGTGTTAGGTTTCAAATTCTCCATTTGAACTAGGAACAAATGATGAATAAGGTGATGTCAAGTAATTTTTCTCTTAAAGTATGGATGGATACTTGAGTAGCTTGAATGAGATATCTGCAACTCTCAAGATATAAACTTTTAAAATTCATGATTTTTGATAGCTTGAATAGTGTCATTAGACACCCGTATTATGATGTGGACAATGACCTCCCTTCTTTATGTGATATGTCACGGCAAACTATCCTCCTTTTTCCATTTGATTTTGTTGACTTTTTGCTTAGTTTAGGCGGATCTATCTTTTGTGCTTATTATGGTGATACAATCTAAATCAAAATCTGAATAATTCAAACTTAAAAAATTAATTTAGTGCTTTTATTCTATATTTCTCAAAATAAAAATTATAAAAAGTTTTAATAAATCTTTTCATGATTAATGTACTTTTGTAAAAAAACATTTTTTTAAAATGTCATAGTTAAAAGATTATATATTTGATTTTTAATATTATATTTATCAAAATAAAAAATAAAAACTTTAAATATGGACCTTGCAAATGAAAATTTAAAATTTAACATGGACTATTCATATTACATGTGTGTAGTTAATTTAAAAAATTATAATATTAAATTAAATAATTCAAATTAGATCCTTACTATTCATATTGATGATGAAAATATTTATCAAAAAATTTATAAATTTTATTTTAATAAATATAAATATAAAATTAAAAAACTGGATATCCAGATTTTTTCTGGCTGATGGGCACCTGAAGACGGACCCTAGTTTAGGCTTGGGCTCAAAAGATTGGGTCCATCTTTTGGCTAGAAAACACAAGAAACTATTGCAGAGTCCATGAGTAAAAATGTATAAAAGATTACAACAGTGTTCTATCCGGAGTTAGCCTCTCTCCCTTTACCCATCCCTTTTATTACGCTCCTCTTCTTTCTTCTACCATTGGATCTCAACTTCAACGATCGAGACTTAATATATTATAAACTTTAAAAAATATATTTTATAAAATATTTTTTTATCACACTTTTGAATTGTTCAAGTAAATTTTAATAACTTTAATTTTAATTTTAATAAATATAAAATAAAAATACAATTAAAAACTTTAAATATCAACCGTGCAGATTAAATTTAGATCTCATGAAAGAGAGGAGGGGCAGGAGAGGAGAGGAGAGGAGGAGGAGAGGAGTATGGTCACGGTCCAGACCCAAGTGATGGATGAATTAATGGCGAAAAAGAAGGAAATCACTCCCACACCTGCTCCCACTCCATCAGCCTCGCAGTCTTTAAGGCTACCCAAGGTAGTCATTGCCCTCAACTCTTTTCAAAATGCCTTCTTTCTCTCTGCAACTGCTTCTCTCGCTGGCTCTCCTCACCCTCACCCTCACCCTCACCCGTGCCACTCAGCTCATCCTCCTCAACAACTGCAGGCACGACATATGGCCCGCACTTCTGGGCACTGCAGGCCACCCCACCCCAAGAGATGGCGGCTTTCTCCTTTCTTCTGGCCAGGAGACTCTTCTGCAACTCCCTCCCTCCTGGTCCGGCCGCATTTGGGCCAGAAATGGCTGCTCCTTTCACCCCACCACCGCAAAAGGCTTCTGCCAGACTGGAGATTGCGCCGGCCTCTTACACTGCCGCGGCCTCGGCGGCCTCCCTCCCGCTACGCTCGTTCAGATCTCCCTCGCTACCTCCCACTCTCCCTTGCATTTCTACGACGTCAGTTTGGTTGACGGTTTCAACCTCCCCGTCGCCATCAAGCCTGTCGGTGCCACCCTCCGCTGTGGCGTCGCCTCCTGTCAGGCCGACTTGAATCTTTGTTGTCCGCCCGCCCTGGCCGTTCGCCGACGAGGCAAGATCGTCGCCTGTAAGAGCCCTTGTCTTGCCGCCAAATCCGATCGATATTGCTGCACTGGCGACTATGCTAGCCCCGGCAAGTGTAAGCCTACGGTGTTTGCTCGTCTGTTCAAGCTCATTTGCCCTCAGGCTTACGCCTATGCTTATGATGATTCCACGGCGCTCAAGACCTGCAACGCCACTCATTATGTCATCACCTTTTGCCCTCCTATTCCTAACTGACTCGTGAACATCCTTTTTAATTAATGCGGTTTCCTGGGGATGTTCTTTAGTTCTTCGAGTTTATCCACGAAGTGCAGGATTCCAAATTTGCGGTGGGCTATCTCATCTCAAACTGTAACCGCATTTGATGCTTTCTCACGTCAATGGATTCTCTTACTGTCATGATCATGAACCGTGACTAAATTTAAGCTTTCCAATATTTGCAGCCATCGGAAAAAGTTTTAATCTTCAAATCACGATGGCTTGTATGTTTCTGTATTTCCTAATCTAATTCTAATATTCGTGACACTTGGCCATCCACGAAAACCCTTTGGATATCATGAATTTTTGAGTGCCTATGCAAACTCTGTCAACGCGAGCTCTCTCTGTTTTTTTTTTTTTTAAGTCTAGAAAACATTTACGTCCATTAATATATTAAAACACTATCAAGTGCGTAGGCGTTTACGTATATACATAGTAGCTAGATAAATGTACGCGCGCGTGTGTAAGAGCATTTACAGATTCCTTTACAACAAACACACGCACATGTATATTACATGTTTCTTGATGACTGCTAATCTAAGCATTATATAGAATTTAGCTTGATAAATGAATCGATATCATGCTATTTATATTTTAAATAAACAATATGGCATGTTCAAACTTGTACATTTCATGTTAATACATTGGTTTCAACTCTTTCTCTCCTTCCCTCACTCTATACTTTGATGTGGATTTTTTTTTTTCATTTTATATTATTACCTTGCTCCTTCATGAAAAAGAAGAATAAAGAGAGAAAGAAACTTGCAAGTTAATTAATTCACTTTTTATTAAAAAATATAAGGTGTTTTTAATTGAATTTTATCTTTTAATAAAGTAGTTATTTTTTTAAACTAACATCCTTTTTTCATATTTATCTTTATTTAATAAGTTGTTTCACTCTAAAATAAATATAAAATAATTTTTTTATGAAAAATATTTTAAAAAATATAATAATTATATTTTAAAATTTTAAAAATATATTATATTTTTGAATACCTAATTTTTTATAAAAATATCTTTTATTTTTTAAAGGAAGGATAACGTAACTTGTGAATGGCTATAACCTTTTCTTTTCCCCAGCCTTCCCCTTGCTTTACCTAGCTGGCTAGCTCGTTAGTCGTAGAAATGAACCAAACACTTACAAAAATCTCGTCTTTGATAATCTAAACGCACATAGTACATCTTAATAGCTAGGCTTTCGTAACTTAGAATCTAGACACATCCTAGAGATTATGGGTGTAGGATCAGAATTATATCAACAACAATGTCCATATGCTGAAAGCTAAGCATTCACTTGTGCCTCCATATGCACGTAAAGGGACCCGCACAAGAATTGCGGTTGTCGCCTGTCCCAGATCTGGCTTACAGCTGCTATATATTTGACGGCACAAGGGGTTTAGGATTTGAAAGCAATCATATCACAACCCCAAAAAAAAAAAAAAAAATTAACAGCCATGACGTTAAAGGTGTGTTTTTCACGTCGACTGTATATTTGCTGTTGTTAAAAATTATAAACACTTAAATTTTTGGTTCTAATTTTTTGAGGGTGAAAAGTTATCACTAAAAATTATCTCATATTACGTTAAGTAACATTTCATGTCACATTATTTATTACACGTGCACCTCTTCATGTCACGTTACATGTCATGTCATACCTCATCATGTATGCCTCATGTTATATTATATCACCCGACAACTTATGCTACATCATGCCACATTATATATTCATTATGAGATATGTCTAGATTAGGATTTAAGTTCTTGACTTTTACCTCCCAATTCTTAAGTTTTCTTTTAGTAATTGAATTGAAATATACCTGCAATTGAACAATTATATTATTTAATTATATACACATATGTCAAATAATATATTATTTAAAATATATACATATATATGTATATATATTTTATTTTATTTTCATTTATTAATATGATAAAATAATTTATAAGAGTATATAATAAAATATTATTTTTATTAGAAAAATGAACTTAAAATGAGGTAATTTTTAAATATTAAATAATTTCTTATAAACATTTTAACCAAATTTTAAATTTTTTTTATTTTTTAAACAAAAATAATTAAGTATATAATTTATTTATAAGTATGTATTATATTAGTTTACATTAAATATCTTTTACTTTTTTTTTCATATTTTTCTCAAAAATAATAAATAAATGATTAAATGTTTATCTTCTCCCAAGTTAAATGATTCTCCTTCTTTTACTAAAAATAAATTTTATTTATAATTTTTTAATTATCTTAAAAAATATTTTAATAAAAAATTTATTTTAATCATATAAATTTTGTTAATACTTAATTTGGATAATTATTTTTTATTATCTTTGAGATAAAAAATGGGTGGACATGTGATAAACTAAAAGTAGATGCTAAATAAAAAAATTTAAATTAAAAATTTAAGTGAATATTTAAATTTTGTCTTGATTCGATCTAGATTAGTTTAGATTTTTATTAAAGTTTATTTAATAGAATCAATATCAAGATAATAGAAAATACTTTTCAATAGCTTTATAATTTAAAATAAATAAACTTTAGTAAGTTTATACAAAATTTCATCCATAATTCAAATAGTTCATTTATAGTTTATATATGACTTAGCTTGATTATGTATACTAGCTTAATAAGATCATTATTTAAAAATAATTCATAAATTTTTTTTAAATATAATTATTAAAATAAGATCATTATTAAAACACTAGCTTAACATGATCATTGTTTTTAAAAGTAATCATTATTGATATTATATATAATTTATTTCTCATTCTATATAAAAATATTTTTAATGGCAACAAATTTTTCCCCCAAAATTAATTATGTAAATTAATTTTTATAAAAAAATTTAATTTTTTTTATAAAAATACTTTTAACGATGAAATAGCTAAAGGTAATTTTTAATGATGACAAATAAAAGTCGTCATTAAAAAGAAGTATTTGATGGTAACATTTAAAAGTTACTGCTAAAGCTTTACTTTTAACGATGATTTTTAATAGCTATATAATATTGTTGTTAAAGGTTTATTTTTAATGGTGATTATTTTTTATTGTAATTTTTTTATCATTACTAAAAATTTAAAAGTCGTAGACATAAGGTTTTTTTTTTATTTTTTTTTATTTTTGAAGTGTGTAGCAACAGAGAAGTTCACGGCAACGGGAAGATGAGAGTACCGTGGCGTGGCAATATAGGAGCAGGTCACACTGCTCATATTATAAACATGCATATCAATTGGTCGTCGAATGATCTTTTAGCGAATCATAATGTTAAAAGTTTTTTTACTCCATTACAAATTTTTATAGTCTTATAAGATACACATATAACTTTTCGTAGACCCATGCATGTAATGTTTATTATAAGGTAGAATTTTAATGAAGACCCTTGTATCAAATTTTTGAAGTTTTATTGTAGTCTAGGGATATTAATTTGATACTAAATTTTTAAGAAAAATGATAAAATTACTCCTCATTTAAATTAATACCAAAATTTCTTTAGTTCACTTCTTCATTATCCTACTTTACTTGTTAATTTACTTATGAAATATTGTCCATTGTTCTATTTAACTTGTTTTTATTTTAGGTGTTTAAATTATTTTAAAATAACTTGTTAGTTTCTATAGTATATGTCGTTTATTTATTTATAGATTGTTGTTCATTGCTCTACTTTACTTATTCACTTTCACTTGATCATTGCCAAACTTTTATTTAATTTTATTTCAGGAAAATGAACAAATAAAGTAGAACAATTAACAATATTCTATAAGTAAATGAACCAGTAAAATAAAGCAATGAACAAGTGAAATATAAAAGTTTTGATATTAATTTAAATGATGGACAATTTTGTCATTTTGTCTGAAAATTTAATATCAAATCAGTACCCATAGGCTGCAGTGAAATTTCAAAAATTTAGAGACTTAAAATTTAAATAAGTAAAGTCCAAGATAAATTCTCCCTTATTATACATTTGCTAATACCAAATAAGGATGTGAATGTGCGCCCGTGCTGCCCTAATAACAATTAATTTATGTGTGTATGTGTATGTATTACATGTAGAAAATCTTATTATTTTAAAAAATATGGATGGCAGTTCATTTGAATAAAAAGTCCATGCATTGCAAATTACAGGCTTTGCTAGACATGCTGCAGGCTATTATTCAAAATATACCACCAACAAGAAAACTAGAAAAAGAAACGAATATTTCAAAGTAAAGAGGTTGCGGACGAAAGAGAAGGAAATTAGTTGAAGTTTGAAATGGAAGAGTTTGAATTGATACAATAAGCATGGGTGTCGCCATGCTCAATTTTCAAAGAAGAGCAAGCTGCAGTGTCGCGTTTGGTAATTGCTCACTCACTCAGTCAGTCGGATGCATGGTCCCAGCGATTAGTGCGCCAGGCATTGCAAGCAGCCAAGCACCACCTATATTGACCCCCAAACGAATTAAAAACTAACCTTGCCATAACATCTGTAAACAAAACTGCTTAAAATAATTTACATTTTATTTATAAGCTGGAAGCCTTCATATTATACTTGTATTCAACCCCTGTTGACTGATCGGTTAGAACAAAATGTAAATCGCCGCCAGCTGATATCAGTATATGGTAGACGCGGTTTTGCCAAATTTTAAAACATTAATGGTATTTAACATTTGACTATTAAATTAGTAGTCATTGTTAAAAAATATAATAGGTGTGTTGATATATATGCAGCTGGATGAGTCACAGCGATGTGATTATTAATAAACATGCATAATAATGTTCGTTTTCTGATAGCTACACATAAAAGGGACGGGCGTGCCAACCCATTTTCCAGGAAACTAGGGGCTTTTTGTCTCCGCTTTGCGCCTTCCCCCCGGAAACCTTTTCCCTACAATGGAGCCTTGTCTCTCCTTTTATTTTTCTTCCCTCTCTATGTCGCTATCCTTTGAATAATATCATCACGTAATTTAAAGTTTGGAGGTCAAAGCATATTCTATTTCTGGAATCCACTATCATTCCCAAACCTGTTGTGTATTAATATACACACCGTATAAATTGTATATGTGTTAATAGAGACATAAAGATACGTACATGGCTTAGAGTTTGAATGGAGTAGATTGCAACCTACATGTAGTACACAAATACGGAAGACGAGGGGGAACAGGGAAAGAATAGGTTTAGGACAACATATCAGGGAGATGACGTGATGAATGGAATACAGTTCATCATTTGAGAGGCTGCTGTTAGCAGTACGTT